AATTATTTTTCCAAAGTCATTTTGGAGAATAAGTTGAATTAAAAAAAATGACTACTCTGATTTAATAGGAGATGTTAAGAAAATATGATTGGCATGTCATTTTAAACTTTAGTATTAAAATATTTCATACTTCAAAATTTTTCTGAGTACTTTCTTTTTATATAATTTGATTCTGCCCCCCCCCTTTTTAAAGAGTTTTTTGCCTTAAGGTGTGTGCACTTGCTGGAGAGAGAGATAGAGACAGTGAGAGGCAAAGTGAGAAATCACCCCTATCCCTGGTGATCCATTTTTCTTTTTCTTCTTTCTCCTCCCAGGATCTTGGGCATGCATGCACATATGCCTGGTCTAATTTTCAAGCCAGTGGGTTCAGTACTTGAACCACAGTCTGCCATGTGGGAGTTTGGTGACATAACCATTAGACCAGATACTGGCCCCTTGATTCCTTTTTGAAGACAGCAAAAGGGAGGAGGACACTCAAGACCTCAAATACCAATTCTGTTGTCATTATTAGTGGTTCAATAAACGTAATTGATTCTTCTAAAACATTGGCGGTCACCTAATTGACTACTCATTGTCCCAATGGTTATGACCTCAACCCACCTCCATCTCACAGCCACACCCTTGATGCTTGATGATATTGGGTTCAATTGTGTTCCCCTGACAAATTCATGTGAAGTCATAACCTCCAGTACTTTTGAATGATCTTATGTGGAGATAGAGTTGTCAATGTAATGGGTTAGCATGAGGTCCTCAGGCTGGATCTACTCCAATAAGATTGGCATCTTTACGAAAATGAGGCATTTGGGCACAGAGGCACAATACGGGGAGAGCAGTATGTGAAGATGAAGGCAGAGATGACGGTGATGTTTCTTCAAGCCAAGGGTCACCAAACACTGTCTGTACAGCACTAGAAGCTGGGTAAGAGGGACAGAATAGTTTTCATCGGCATCAGAAGAAACACACCCTGCCAGCACCTTGATCTTAGACTTGCAACCTCCAGAGCTCAGAGATAAAATATTTCTGTTGTTGAAGCGACTTTATGGTATGCTCCGTGGCAGGCTTAGTGTCCAGGGCCAGGGCATAAGAATAGGTCCTGCTTATGGCCAGCAGTTGGTGTAATGGCTACATCGCTGGACTCCCATGTAGTTGACTGAGGTTTGAATCCTGGACCTGGTGGCTTAAACTCACACTGGGCACGTGTGCTTGCGTGCCCAAGATCCTGAGAGGGGAATGGAGGAGAAGCAATTATGCCACGGCCATCTCCCTGGGTGGTGGTTTCTCACTTTCTGTCTGTCTGTCTCTCTCTGTCTTTCTGGCAAGTGCACACGCCCTATGGCAAAAACCTCTTCTAAGAATAAAAAATAAAAAGAATAGGTCCTGCCTCCTGTTATGGCAGCCCTAGTCGATGGAGACAGTTACTGAGAGTGACAAGCCCTCTGTCATCTATGTTTTAGGTACTTCATGCTCATCACCATCTCCTGCCCCTCAGGCTCACTACATTTAGTGTTCAAGTGTTATTTTTTTTTTTTACACCAACACCTTCAACCCATGGATGCTACTGTTTTCTCACTTTTCCTTACTCTCTTCATGTCTCACTTTTCCCGTTTGACTAGCTTAGTATTTTTTTGTCACTCATTATAATTACTCACTTTCTCCTCTTTTTAAAAATTTTTATTATTATTAATTTTTTTTTCTGGAGAGGTTTTTTCTATAGGGCACGTGCGCTCACCAGACAGACAGAGAGAGACAGAGAGACAGAAAGCAGGAAATCACCCCCCAGGGGGGATGGCCACTCTGCAATCCCTTCTCCTCCATTCTCCTCTTGGGATCTTGGGCACGCACGCACACGCACCCGGCATGAGTTTAAGCCACCGGGTCTGGGACTCGAACAGCGGTTGACTACATGGGAGTCTAGTGACATAGCTATTACGCTAACTGCTGGTCCCTACTTTCTCCTCTCTTGTACAACTTGCTGTGCTAAGCTTTAATGCTAGTTGATCCCACCACGTGCCCTCTATCAGTTCATCAGAACATGGCAGCCGACAGCCCTTTATACCCCAACTGCTCCCACTTTAATCCATTCAGCTGCCATGCTCTATTCCCTGCTTGTCCACTCATCCACTCTCTCACGCTCCTAAATGACTCTTCCAAACTTGCTCCTCTCAGATCAAACCTCCAACACCTCTTCACTGTTGTCACCTTTAGCTAACTCTTTGCTTTCTTTTTTATTTATTTATTTTTATTTATTTATTTACATATTTTTTGGAGAGGATTTTTTTTTTTTTGACTATAGGGTACATGTGCTCACCAGAGAGACAGAGAGACAGAAAGCAAGAAACCACCCCCTAGGGCAGATGGCCATGCCGCAATCGCTTCTCCTCCATTCTCCTCTTGGGATCTTGGGCACACATGCACACACGCCTGGTGTGAGTTTAAGCCACTGGGTCCAGGACTCGAACCGCGGTTGACTACATGAGAGTCCAGTGACATAGCCATTATGCTAACTGCTGGTCCCTTTGCTTTCTTTTTAAATCTGCATAATTGAAGCAATCTGAACAGAGCTTCCCAAGCTCCCCAAACCACATCTACCCACTGACCTGCTTCTGACTTTTTTTCTGTTACTATGCCCATTTATAGTCTTTTAATTTTTCTTTCTTTTTTTTTTTTTAGAGAGAGACTTTTGCAATAGAGTATGTGCACACATACACACAAGAAGAAGAGAGAAAGAGCAGCACCTTTTATAGGATCTCCTTATTCTGCAGCCTCTTTCCCCTAGCTCTTAGCCTTCCAGCTCATCAAGATCTCAGGCGGGGTATATACACCGGGTATGTTTCAGGTCAACTGGGATGGAGATCCCAATCCTTGGTCAACAATGTGGCTTCCAGCACTGCAGTTCAACATTCTAGTGACTGCACTACCAGACTGGGCTCCTGCAGTCTTCTTATCCCAGATGTTCTTCCATTGTTCAAAGATAAAGACCCTTTTATAAATCAAAAACTTTTCTCAGCCACCTATCCCCCATGGTGAAGATACACAGTGATTTGAATCTACTTTATATTTGATACCACTTACACATGAATTTTGCACTCTGTGGCATGTAAAAGCATCTTATATGACCTATAATCTGTATTTGGCTGGAGCTATGTATTTAATTCCAGGTGACAATGGTTTGAGTGAGAATCTAATAATGCTATGATATAACTATTTGGTTTTCTCTGTGTCCTCAACATTACATACCAGACTGTTGGCATATTTTTTAAACTCAAGGGGTTTTTATGTTTTGCAATAAATCATATAGTATGTTCAAAAGAGGAAAGATTGGGACCAGCAGTTAGTGTAATGACTATGTCGCTGGACTCCCACATAGTCAACCACGGTTCGAGTCCTGAACCCGGTGGCTTAAACTCACGCTGGGCGTGTGTGCCCAAGATTCCGAGAGGAGAATGGAGGAGAAGGGATTGCGGCATGGCCATCCCCCCTGGGGGGTGATTTCTCACTTTCTGTCTCTTCGTCTCTTTCTGTCTGGTGAGCGCACGCGCCCTATAGCAAAAATCTCTCCTCCGCCCAAATCAAAAAAAATTACCATAAAAAAAAAAAAAAAAAAGAGGAGGGATTGTGATCAGGAATACTATGTCATGAGTAAATTATACCCCCTTTCAACCAGACTATTTTTCCATAATATGAAGGGCCTTTGTAAAATTTATAAAAATACCTATTATAGGGACCAGCAGTTAGTGTAACGGCTGTCTTGCTGGATTCCGATGTAGTCGACTGCAGTTTGAGTCCGGGAGCCGGTGGCTTGAACTCACGCTGGGCTATAGCAAAAATCTCTCAAGAAAAAAAAAATGCCTATTATAAAGAACAAACAAACAAACAAACAAAAACTATGCATGGATTTCAATTTTTTGGCCCCAAAATGAATTTGTACTTTAATTCTATTTTTTCATTAACTTTTTGAAGTATCAGAAGCAGTGCTGTTTTGATTACTATTGTTTACTTTTGTTCTGCTTCTTCAAAAAAATAAAGTACACATGAAACCTTTGTATCTAACATGGATAAAGGCGTAGCCACTCTGCTTGGAACTGGGGAGAATTCCACCTTATCCCCTTTATTCTCTCCAGACAGAATTTTGAAACCTGGAGTTCTTCTTCCTAACTTAATTTTAGGATCAATTCCCTAGGGACTTTTATTTTCTCTTTTTGGGGGCTGAGCAGGAAGGATAAAACCAGCATGCTTGCAGGACAAGCCCTGATGGAGACTCCCACCTCTAGGAGGCTGGATCTCAGCAGCACTGACCTTTGTGTGTCCAGGAAAGGATCCTCAGGATCCTGGCTAGAGCCCAAAGAACCCACACTATGTTCTGATGTTCCAAGGAACTGAAACTACAGAGCAAGTTAGTTTCATATTCTGGAAGTGAATGTTAACATTGTGTATTTCTTCCCATAGTCCCTGTAAGTGCTAATTGTGAAGTAAAGTTTTTCAATAAAATAATGATTACATTTTGAAAGACCCATAAATATACACAATTATTATGTATCAGTTAAAACCAATGTCCTAAAACTCTCTCTTTCTCTCTCTCTCTCTCTCTCTCTCTCTCTCTCACACACACACACACACACACACATCTTTGGAGGTTTTGTCTTTAATTAGATGTAAACTCCGGATATCACCAAATGTCCCCTGCTAAATAGGAGAGAGTTGTGCATAGCTGCATGTGTCACAAATCTGTACATGGTTTGGTATGCTTGGATTTCTAATCTTCTGATCTGGCTTACATTTTACTTAGGTTTATTAGTCTCATCCCCAGACACTTCATCTCCAGGAATACTCTGCACCCTCACCATGGTTACTCGAAGGTTTTTTTCTGAGGTTTCATATGAAATGAACTTACATACAGTTGAAAGTATATTTCTTTTCAAAGTTTGGTTTTAGTTTTTAGAATTAGTTTTTAAAGAGTTTTTAAACTATCTCTAAACAGCCTTTAACAATGAGAAACTTACCAGACCTGTTCTGAAAACTTCGATTCTTTTATATTAAGAACTTGAAGTAAGCCTTCATGTGGCTCTCCGACTTGGAACTCTTCGATTAGGTGTGTTTTCTTGAGAGTTTGCAAGTCACGCCCAGAAAACAGCTATGAGGAAGTCGAGATGCAGGCAGGACAGATTTGGTCCTTGCGCAATCTGCCCGATGATGCGGTTGTTGAAAATCTATTACGAAAAAACAGTATCACAACAAATTAAAATGAAGTTGGACTGTTGCTTGGGAACAGTTTTAAAATTCATTATTTTATTACATTCAATCACCATGTATCATTATAGTATACTGAGTGAACGTTCCCTTCCTGAATATACTGTATGTTGGTTCAGTCAAAGATATTACCATATTACCATTGATTCAGTCAAAGACATACATATCCTCATCAACAGTTAATTTTCCATTTTTGTGTCCCTTACATGTTTTGCTCCTTCCTTTTTTTTTAGAGAGAGATTTTTGCTATAGGGCCCATGTGCTCTCCAGAGAGACAGAGAGAGAGAAAGCTAGAAATCATCCCCTGGGAGGCTTGGCCATGCCACAACCCCTTCTCCTTCATGCTCCTCTTGGGATTTTGGGCATGCATGCACACACACCAGCATGAGTTTTAAGCTACCGGGTCTGAGTCCAGTGATATAACCATTACACCATCTGCTGGTCCCTGCTTCTTCCTTTTTCTCCTTGATTCCCTCCATGGAATAGATTCTTTCCCCAATTTTCTACCATAAAAATTTTTAAATACATAGAAAACTTGAAATAATAATGAAAAGAATGCCCTTCTCCTAGGCAGAATCTTTTCCTATACTTAAATACTTTTAATAAGATACATAAACAGGGGCTGGCAGGTGGCATGGTGGTTAAGGGCACTGGACTCCCATGTGGCTGACAGCAGTTCAAGTCCCAGACCTGGTGGCTTGCTTTCTCATTTCCCCTCTCTCCTTATCTCTCTCACTCTGTCCCTCTCTTGTCAAATTAAAATAAGTAAGTAAATAATAAAGTTAAATAAAATAATTCTTTAAAAAAAGATAACTAAACATTAAAAATATGTCACAGGCATACTTTTTCTCTCCCCTCATTCCTCACTCAATGTGGAATACATGCAATCTATCTAGCTTCCGACCATCTACTTCTGTACTACCTGGTTCGAGCCCCATTTTCTGTCTCCTGGATTGCAGGAATAGCTCCCTGAACAGTTTCCCTCTTGCTGTTATTATTCCTCTGGGATCCTCTCCAAATACCAGCCAGAGCAACCCTGTTAAATACAAATAGCAGCTTAGCAGGGTGCTAAGTGGCTTTCGGTCTGACTGAGTGAAAACCAATTCCCTAAATAAGAAGAAGGCCTCACTTGATCTGGTCCCTTTAGTTACCTGTTGCTTTGATTTTTTTTCTAAATCTCTTCCAGCCCTCTGACCTCCATGTTGCTCCTTGCAAAAGATACTTCGTTCTGTTTCCAGTCATTGTACTTATTTCCTTCTCCTGATGTCCTTGGAGACCTGCAGGGCTCATGTCCACACTTCCTTGAGGGTTTTTTTTTTTTTTTTTTAATCAAATGTCACCCTTCTCAGAGAGGCACTGCTTTGATTAGTTTCCTGAAAAGTTTATCCCATCTCCCAACACTCCCCATTTCTCTTTCAGCTTTATATTTTATTTTCTTAAAACTGGCCAGCAGGTCGCTTGGTGGTTAGGGCGGATGGACTCCCACATGACCAATAGCGGTCCAGTCCCAGAAGGACAGCTTGACAATCATGCTGGGTGTGTGTGCGTGCATGCCCTAAATCCCAGGAGAATGAGAAGGGACTGTGGCATGACCATCCCCCACCGGGGGC